CCAGATAAAACAACAAATTTTACGATCCCATTCATATTATGCAAAAGACAAAACTATAAAAATTAAAAGAACCAATGATGGAGAGAAGTTTGCAGGGTGGGAATATTTGACAAGGAGAAGCACAGTAGTGGTAGATTCATGACGCTATGCATTGACTTATGGTGCTGGCAGAGAATACTGAAAGTACCCCGGATGGCCACAAGAACAAACAGATCTGTTTTGGAAGAAGTACATCCAGACGCGTCTCAGAGGCCAGGATGGATTATAAATGTATGGCATAAACTCAGGGAAGGACACAGAGAAAAATGGAGTTGACTGACCTCACTTTGGAAAACAGCATTTTGATTTCAAACTAAGACTATAACCGAAAGAAACAACATATAAATTGTGTATTCTACTTTGCAAAGTTGTTTGGGTCCACGATGCTGAAATATACTTAATTTGGGGCTGAAAAAAATAACTAAATGGATGATGGATAGTGGTAGCCATGTTCCTAACAGATGCCGAGGAATGTTAACATAATTCATGGGGGAAGGCTAAAATGAACCACGTGGTACAGGATCGGAGCAGAGATTTCAGTATGAATCGTGTTTACTTAGTGTAAAGTACAAGATTGATGGATGCCGAATAACTGTGGATGTGTGTGTGTGCATTTATATAGGTCAAGACAGGGACAAATTACTTCCCTGTGGATTAGGTGTTAGGCTACTAACGGCTGTCTTTATGTATTTCGGTCATTCTCCAATCAAGCTGTGACCTGATTAAACTCTTCCCACATGTTCCTATTGTCCTTGTTGGCACAATAAAGCTAACTATCATGCAGGACTTATGAGACTGGAGCTCAGTGTCAGAGTCTGAAGGAGACTCAGTAATAGTTGAAGTCACAAATGTATACAAGATTTCTCAATAAAAGCATATAGTATGAGAAGCACAATGACATATCTCCTTGGGCAATCCCAATATTTAAGGGTTGTATTGAAATGGCATAAGGAATCTTGGTGGCACAATGGTTAAGTACTTGGTTGCACTGAAGGCTGGCAGGACCGACTCACCCAGCACCTCTGAGAGAAAACCCTATGGGACAGTTCTAGTCTCTGGCACGGGGCTGCTGTGAGTCAAAAGCAGCCTGCCAGACACCTAACAACAGCAGCATAGAGAACACTTTCAAAAGTGGCCATGGATAGGGGATCTAGGTCAAGCAGAACTAAGATCAAGGCCAACCAGAAGGAACTTCAAGAGTGAGGAATCCAGAGTGTGATAAGCAATGGAGACATCAAGGACAATGGAAATTAGTGGACACTCAACGGACTTGAGTAGCTAGAGTGGTGGGGAGAGATCAGATCACCGTAGAGCGAATGGGAACTGAAGAATGCAGAGGTATCAACTGCAGACTACCTTTTCACGAATCCTCACCTAGCAGACAAAGAAAATGTCCTCGGTCAGACATGCATACACTCATAGTTCCCTTCTCTTTCCCAGACCTATCCAGTCTGTGTCAATACATCCATTGGTAGGTTAGGGTCATTGCAGGAATGTAGGTATAATCATATTTACCTTTGTTGCTTTTAACTCTTATTCTCCTCACAGTTTCCTCCTTTACTTTTATTGTTTCCTGCGGGACTCTCTCTTGTGCATCATCTACCTTTCCATTCACCCACGTTCCTATGTGTCCACCCTCTAGTTAGTGACTCAGCCTTCCATCCGCTTTCACCAGCATCAAGAATGTTTCCTGTGGTGTGAAAGCTCCTACTGCTGACGTTTTACAACAGTGGCTGCATGCACAGCTTGTCCTCTTGTTAGTGACTACTTTCCCTCGGCACAATGTCCTCCTGCTTTAACCATGTTATGGGCTGCTCGCCAGATTCATCGCTATCCTTTAATGTTGCATCACGCGAGGTTTCTAGACAGATGAGAGGGTTAAAAACGTTCGTCAAAAAGTTCCATTCGTCTGATTTTGTTTCTTCACGACCCTTTTAAAGACTCCTCACATATTTACCTGTGCTGAAAGTAAATACAGGAATCTGGTAGAACATACTGGAAACCCTGTTTTGCAAACGTCTTAGTCATAACTAAAACGCCTTGAGGGAATAATGAACCCTTCCAGAGCAAAGGGACAGCATTTCCCCAGGGATCAAGCTCAGAAGACAGGAAGTGTTCCGAAAGAAAGCGGAACGGAAATGGGGAACACGGGGAGGCAGAGGGTAAGTGAGGTTACCTTGCGATCAGTGGCGTGAAACAAAATGTGTGTGGATTGAGGGATGGAGAACCAGTTTGCTTTGTAAACATTAATCCAACACACAATACAAAGTTTTTAAAAAGAGTGAGAGAGAGAATAAGGCTGATAGCTTGAGGGAGCTAGAGGACCAAGGTAGGGCAGGTTACCTGTAGTTTGTCTTTATTTTGCTGTTTGTGTGTTTGCTTGCATGAAGTATGTAGAGACTTTACTATATATACATAGACTGAGGAGGCAAAAAGGTCCAGAGGCTCAGGAAGACATTCTTTAAGCTCAGGGAACAGAAGCCACAGCAGTTATTTAAACAGAAAATTTCATATACAATTTTATACTAAAAGTGATGATTCTGACCAAAAAACCCAGAATGGAATCATGATTAATTCTTTAAATATTCAATAGAAAATGGTGAAGTATGTATAAAGTTGATCGCCCCATAATTTAAAAGGCAAGAAAACAACACAAAGGCAGATGAAAGCCGTCACTGTAAGAAGCCCTCTATACTCCTTGGTATTGGGGAAGCAAGGAGAAAAAGGGAGGGGAGATGGAGGTCACAAAGCAGGAGGAAAGTTCAGGAGAGGGAGAGATATTTTGCTAAAGGGAATCAAAGATGATATTATGAAAATGGTCTTATGAAGACTGTCTTTGTGCTGGGCTTCTTTCTGCAGAGATGTAAGAATAGTCCAGGTAGAAGGGTCCTGAGGAGGAGACGGGCAGGCAAGGTGCAGTATAGCGCTAATGAATCATATAACTTTCCTCTAGTTCTCTAATGCTTCCTTCCCCCACTAACATGATCCTAATTTCACCTTACAAATCTGGCTAGACAAGAGTACGTACAGATCAGAGCTGGGAACACAGGGAATCCAGGAGAGATAAACCCCTCAGGACCAATAATGAGAGTAGCAATACCAGGAGGAGAGGAGGAAGGTGGAGAAGAAAGGGGGAACTGATCACAAGGATCTACATATAACCCTCTCCCAGGGGGACAGACAACAGAAAAGTGGGTGAAGGGAGACATCAGACAGTGTAAGCCATGAAAACATAATAATAATTTATAAATTATCAAGCATTCTCAAGGGAGGGAGGGTGGGAGAGGGATGGGAAAAATGAGGAGCTGATACCAATGGCTCAAGTACAAAGAAAATGTTTTCAGAATGATGATGGCAACAAATGTATAAATGTGCTTGTGCCATGGATGGATTGTGATAAGAGTTGTACGAGCCCCCAATAAAATGATTTTTAAAAAACAAACAAAAAGAATAGTCCAGGTATGGCAAATAACAAGAGACAGTAGACACTTCCTACTTGTTGACCAGATGAAATGACGAAGGCATTTGTAGGGAACCGTAGATACTGCGCTGAGGGTGAGGCTCGGTTTAGGGAGAGAAATGGGAAATAAGGCAGCACAGACAGGCAAGAGTGAAGCAGACATCCTGAATAGTAGGCTCATGAGTTTATACTTGGTTTTAGGAAGCCACTGGTTGTGTGTGTGCTGAGTTTTGTCTGTGTTTGCGTAGGAAGGTACCTAGAGCTATACATTCTGGAAGGCGAGTCTCTCTGTGAGATGCAGAAAGAAAGGAAGCTACGAATCTGAGACCATCGGCTGTTGCTGTAGTTGTGACTCACGGGGGCAACAGAGTGAAACCTTGTCAGGGCCCGTGTCACCCTCACAAACCTTGTTACGTCTGAGTGTATTGTTGCAACCAACCACTGGGTCAATCTGCCTTGCAGAGGCCTCCTCCTTTTAAAAAAATTTCCCCACCCACCCACCCTTCCTCCTTGCCTTCTTGTCCACTCCCGCCCTCCTCCCCACAGCCCTGGCCTTGCTGTAGATTTTTAAATCTTTTCCTTTGGCATGAAAACCATTTTTATTTTTCTTTCTTCCCTTAAAATAATGGCATCACAAAATATTGCTCTGTTTTTATATATAATATTTATCTTTATGAACTCAACTAACTGCTGAGCATCACATCTTTCAATTTTGTCCACGCCATGAGGTGTCTGACAGACGTCTCAGTGCTTTTCAGGGATGCGTCAAATTACATTGGGTGTATGCATCAGCGTTTGCTTTTCCATTCCTCTATAGATGGGGCTTTTGATCACTTTGATCTTTGTGCTACTATAGGATTTGCTGCAATAAACATGGGTGTACGTATGTCTGTGTTCTGCTCTTTATTTCTTTTGGTTATATACCAAGTGGAGAGATTGCAGGATCACGAAAGGTATTTGCATTTGTATTTGATTAAGGAAGTACCACATTGATTTCTATAGTGGTTGAGCAACTCTGTGATCCTAACAAGAATGCACGAGCATTGAAATCTCTCTACCTCAAGGTCTTCCTCTGTTCCTGCTGACCCTGCACTTTAACCAAGCTTCATGCCCTTTTCTGGCACGGGGGGTCGATATTCTGCTGCAAGCGCTAGGGTGCTTCAGGGTCAGAGATCATCACACCAATTCTTCCCACGGAGAGCCCTGTAGAAATCAGTCCACTCTGGGTGATCCTGCTGGTAACTGAGACACCAGGGACCCAGCTGCCCTGTTCCCTGATGCACAAGTAGGAGGCGTCTCGGTTTCGGGGCTGCCCCAAGCGCAGCTCTCAGGCAACCGGGAGAAGCGTTCGGATCCAGCCTGTAGAGAAAGCAACCCAGTCGGGCCAATGGGCACCGGGTGGGCCGCGCGCTCCGTGACCGGCGCGGGGGCGCGCCCGGCGTCTCCTAGCAACCAGGGCCAACAGTAGACTGCGGAGCGGTGCGGGGAGCAGGGCGTCTGGAGCCCCGACAGGTAAGGCCTGCCCCCGGCTACGCTGCTTCCCCCTCGGGGTTGAGTCCGGGCAAAACCTGAAGGAGAAGGCAGGGCACGCGTGGGGACAGCAGGGCCCCCGCGGGAGCACTTTGGGAAGAGTTTTGCAGTCCCTGCCCTGCCCCGCCCCCACAGTGACACATGGGCATTGGGAGGGGTTCGAGCACATTCCAGGTACTGGCCTGTAGTGTGATCAAAGGGATCCCCCAAGAGGGGACTGGAGAGCCTAACGTTCTCCGACCTTCCCACGCTGAATTCGTCCCACAGGACGAATTTGAATAACCAGAAAATCGTGCCGAAAAATAAGATGTGGTTTCTCAGCAATCATCAAGAATATGCTTAAAGGCCCTTTCTTCTTCTTTTAAGCGTTCATATCCAGTGCCTTAAAGTTCATACCAGTTCAGCCAGTGGTTTCTCTTTAGGGTTTACCTTCACAAAACAGCAGAGATGTGAATGGAGATTTGATGCCCATCATGTTCATGGCAACGTGGCCTGTATTCTGGAACATTGAGGACAAATGATCAACCATTAAGATAAATCATGGATTTTAAAATATTACTTTAGAGGACACAATAGGCTGATCCTTTGGGCATCATTGGCTAGCTAGGCGGTAGAAGAGGCAAATCTCATGAAACTTGCCCATTCATAATTTAAGAACACAAAGCCTTGAGGCTTTTTGGAGGGAAAGGGTAGGACTAACTGAAACACTCAAACTCACCGCCATCGAATCAATTCTGACTCCAAGTGACCCTGGCACTAGAGGCCAGGGTGAACGGCCCCTGTGGGTCTCCGAGACTGTAACTTTCCAGGGATTAAAAAGCTTCATCTGTCACGCACGGAGCGACTGGTGGTGTCAATAGGGTGATGAACAGGTTTTAGTTGAGTTTCCAGACTGGCACGGACTCGGGGGAAAGCCTGGTGATGGATTTCTGAAAAAGCAGCCAGTGGAAAAACGTACGGATCCCACGGGTGCTCTCTGGCTGGGCCTGGGGGTTGTCATGAGGCGGAGGCCCACCTGCCAATAACTAACAACAACGAACTTGTATCAAGTTGGTTCTGAGTGAAATCTTCTCTTTGTAGCTGTTTGTGGTTGCTTGGTTGCTTTTCATCTGAAGGTCTTCTCTGAGACTTATTTCCCCCGGGTCATGGTCACTTCTATATGCTCTGCCCATGACCTGTGATACCTGGTAAAGTAACAGAAGCACACACCCTCCTGTTTCACAGTATTGCCTAGGTCTGGCTCTACCATTCCTTGCAACATTGTGAGCTTCTGCACCACTCTTTATGCAAATGCTCAAAAACACTACCTTGAAACAGGAAAATAAGTTCTTGAGCAAAAATCGGGTGCCTTTAAACAATTTTGTACAAGTATAATTTAATAGCTTCTGGAATATCTCGCATAAGAAATTCTCTTTAAAAGGCTGCTACAGCTCTCAATTGGTTACCAAGAACAATGGACTTTCTTCTCCCGGAGCCCTAATTAGAGGACCGGTTCTCCTTTGCACAGATGGTTTCCGCGTGTCTGCCTGGAGCATTACAAGCACAGGGTTGGGCCCAGTGAGCTTTTTAAGCATCTTTGAAAGAAGTTGGAGATGAGAAGCAGCGGGGAAATGGATGAAAAGAAAACAGGAAAATCAATATTAAATGAAATGTTTTTTGTAAATGTTAACAATGTCAATGCCCTTGAAAACAATTTTCTCATTTTGCAAGAATTTTTTTGGCGATGCAACCAATCGCTGAATCATTTCACTTGCAAGTTTCAAAACTTTTAAAGATGGAAATGATATTGAATGGGGAAGTGGATTCATTTTAGCTATTTAACATACTGGATATATTATAAAGTAGGGCATGACCGAGTAAAATCTTATTGGCCTACCCCCCCCCCAAATTTTATAGGCCCTCAGAGATCTTAAAATTTAAGTGTTTTTCACCCTTATATGTACATCTTAAAAATGACTTCAGCAGAGATGGTGCCCGGCTATCAAAGAGTATAGCGTCTGGGGTCTTAAAGGCTTGAAGGTAAGCAAGCGGCCATCAAGCTCAGAAGCAACAAAGCCCACATGGAAGAAGCACACCAACCTATGCAACCATGAGGTGTCGAAGGGATCAGGTGTAAGGCATCATCAGAACAAAAAATCTTACCATAGTGAGTGATGGGGGGAGTGCGGAGTGGAGATCCAAAGCCCATTAGTAGGCCACTGGAGATCCCCTTGCAGAGGGGTCTCGGGAGGAGATGAGCCAGTCAGGGTGCGATGTAACAATGATGAGAAATACAACTTTCCTCTAGTTCCTAAATGTTTCCTCCCCGCTCCTACTACCATGACTCGAATTCTATCTTGCAAGACTGGCTAGACCAGAGGAGGTACACTGGTACAGATAGGCACTGAAAATACAGGGAATCCAGGATGGATGAGCCCTGTAGGACCAGTGGTGTGAGTGGCAAAACGGGGAGGGTAAAGGGAGAATGGGTAGGAAAGAGGGAACCGATCACATGGAACTGTGTGTGACCTCCTCCCTGGGGGACAGACAACCGAGAGGTGGATGAAGGGAGACATCGGACAGGGCAAGATATGAGAAAATACCAATTTATAAACTATCAAGGGCTCATGGGGAGGGGGGAGCGGGGAGGGAGGGGAAAAATGAGGACCTAATGTCGGGGGTTTAAATGGAGAGAAAATGTTTTGAGAAACAATGTACAAATGCGCTTTACCCAATTGATGTGTGTATGGATTGGGATAACAGTTGTATGAGCCCCTAATAAAATGTTAAAAAAAAAAAAATGACTTCAGCAGAGGAGACATAAGCTCAGCGGGGTCACTCCCTCAGGAAGTAGAGAAAGAGAGAAGACGCTTCATTGGCTGCCATGCAACGCTGTCCTAAGGTCACCTCAAACCAAGACTCTTCTGGAAGATAGACAAGAGAATTTTACCAGGGGAGTCAAGTCAAGATAGGGGAGGTGACCTTGCGGGTTTAGGAGAAGGCATTTATATTTCTGCTGATGGGTAAATGGGGAGGAGCAACCTCCCATGGAGGTTGGGGAGGGAGGTGCTTAACAATACTTATATATTGGGTTGTAAACAGAACCCAAAGGGAAACTAAACTGGGGACAATGTTCCTAACTAGACTTTTAACCTAGTTTCTGTCCACCCCTTTGTGACTCGGGCCATGTGCTATAAACTACTGGGACGTTAGACTCTGTCCTTTTAAGGTGCCCAACATCCTTCATAGGCCATTCCAGAAGGACTCGATGTGGAGACGCCACGACATGACCTGGTCTTTACCTTAAACTCACCTGTGGTTCTTGGACTTAAGATGGAAACTCCCTAGTGTGACAAGAGACAGATGACTACCTCCCCAAAGTTGTGCAATTGGAGGGACTTCGGTGTGGAATCCTTTGAGGGTGCTTATTGAAAGGTGGCTCGGGACCACCATACATATTTTTACTCCTTAATGCCCTCCTTCCTTTCCCAAGACACATATTAATCTGATAGTAATGGTTTGGCCTTGGTGACTAAATGTCATTGGAAATTTTGCCTTATTACCAACCCCTATTGTTAGTGTCAATACTGCCCAGTCACTGAAGGGTTTAATCTGGACAAATTCAAAATCCGGGAACGATTCATGTCATGGGTTCAGAGCCAGCCTATCCTTGTATGATTTCCTTTTAACAGCATGTTACATTCTCTATCATTGGATGAATTAATGACACTATCAATAGAATTACCTTATGCCTCAGGGGATGATTGATAATGTTCCCTATCATAATGTGATAACGACTTCTCTGAAGTGGACCAGACACACACACACACACACACACATGGTTGGAGGGAAATGGGGAGCTAAATATAAGTACAGAAAGGAAGACCATCAGTTCTAGAATTGATGTCGTGGTGAATGTACAACTCTTTTTAATATAAATGAACTACTGAAGTGTGTGATATGTCAATTAAATATCAATAAAAACCATTTGATGTAAACTCCATCCAAGGAGTTTCTTTGGACGTGTGCCTTTGTAATAGATGTGATTCATTCTGGTCAGCCTCTCTAATGCCGGAGACTGCTTTTAAGCCTGGATGTGCAGTTTGAACAAACTCCGACATTCAGATTTTCTCCCAGGATTTTTTTTTAACCTCCTCAGATTTCTCGAGTCCCTTGGGATTAGAATTTACCACCTCGGATCGCTCTACTGCCAGAGATAACCCCATAAGCTCTCACTGGAGAAAACTAAGACTATTTCTAGGGTCATTCTAACAGGTACCCACATCTTAGAAAATCCTTAGTGCTCCTTTGTGGTATCTGTCAACTGTAAATAGCATTCCTTTGCCTCTTGATTCTTTTCCACACAAACAGGGCATAAGAGGGCAGATGGAAAAGGGTCCTGCCAGGAGTAACCCCTATATCCCAGAATACCTCTCTCCAGATTCCGCCCCCCTCCCCCCCCCCCCCCAAATTTTTGTTGTTGTTATTGAGTTATGGATTATATTGGAGACATTTTTGTTATCTGTAGAATTAGCAAAAATGTCAAGTGAAAATTATTAGGATCATCCTCAAATTCAGTATGGCCAGGAAAAATGGAATTAATAATTTCTATGACTATCATAGGTCTTCTGTGCACCAGATACTGTTCTAGATGCTTGGGACTCATCAATGCGACAAAAAGAGACACACATCTCTGCGTTCTGTGGTTCTCAGTCTTGTAAATCGCAACACTCACTTGCTCTTAGCTCCTAAGCCCTACCTACGTGAGCTGTAAGCTCAGCAGACCGTTTCTTATTATGTGAGTAAAAGTTACGCCATTAATATGTACACATCTTTTCCAAACTGTGAACCAGGACCAATTTTCAAAAATCTTTTTAATAAGTTCCTTTACCATTTGAACCAGAGAAATAGGTAACATATTTGTACACAGGTAGTGATTTCTGCCTGGCCTGAGTTTTCTTTTAGAATCAGTAAAAGTTTCAAGAAGATGGAAACCTGCACCTCAGGACTCAGGTAACTAAGAGATTCGAACACGTGCAGTATGTAACCACGCTCTAACTGTGTCCTGTGTCCTTTCCCAGGATGGGTAAGAAAATTAAGAAGGAAGCGGAACCTCCTCCCAAGGATGTGGTAAGTTTCTGATTGGAATACCAGCAGCACTGTAATAACCAGTCTTTAAAATAAACCGTTAAAACAGTTTGGCACGTACCAGAATGTACATGAAGACATGGTGGCAGAAGTCCAAAGTCTGACGAATGATAAGATTAGTCAGAGAAATCTAACATTATGTAAACAAACATTTACAGCATTGTCTTAACATGATTACCACAATTAGAGAGCAATTATGAGCTTTTCCGGTATGTGGATGCTGTGTTTATAAGCCCGGTTAGTTAATAAGTACTTTTGGTTTGTTCCCTAAATTACTTTGCATTTGCCCATCTCTCACTAATGGTAACTCTCCATGGGCGTTCTCAAAGATCACTGAGCTTTTGCTTTGCTGTTGCTATTGGATATGTCATGGTCTGCAGAGGAGTCTGGGCATTTAGACCATCAGGGCTTGGGGTTCTTTTGACCAGCAGGGTTTGGGGTTCTTTTGCTGAATTCTAGCCAGTACCACTTGAGTATCAGAAGTCTTACACTCCACTTCTGTAGAGACAGATGTCTGGGTTGGTCATCTTTTTTAATAACCCAAATACCGTATATACTCGTTTATAAGCTGACTTGAATATCAGCCGAGGCACCTAATTTTTGCCACACAAACTGCATTAAAGATGTGCTGAAAACTTGGTGTATGCACGAGCATATACGGTACTTCAGAAATGCATCTTACCCACCTCACCGCCCAAGCGTCTCCCTGTGAAGCAACGTCATATTTCTCTCTCCAAATGCTAAGGCATTTATGAATGTCAGGTGCTCTGAAACATTTTTTGTTTGTTTGTTTTGGAACTTATTTTTAAAACAGATGGTACATGAATTTTTTTTTTCCCCGGCAAGAAAAATGAGAGTAGAAAGGAATGATTACCGTTATTGATGTACCAGATTTCACAGTCTGAAGGAGCTTAATACAGGACTCTCCTTCGGGGCTTTGGAGACTGGTGGCAAGAATGTAACCTTGATTTCAGCTCTGAATTTATTTCACAAACTGTATTATTTTGGCCAAGTTGCCAAAATTTGCCAAGTCTTTCAGTGTCTCTTGACGTCTTACATGGGAATTGTAGTAGTCGATTCATTTAGGTTGCTGTCTCTTAAGTTCCGGGTGGTGCGCACCATTAATGTTAACCAAGAGGACGGAGGGCCCAGCCGACCCAAGGTGCCTTGGAAGAAAGGCCTGGTGATCCACCACTGAAAACCAGCCACTGAAAACCTTAGGGGCCACAGTTCTACTCTGGCACAGACAGGGTCAGCCTGAGTCACAATCGACTTCAGAGCAACGGATTTGGCCATGGGAGGAAGTTAAAGGAAATCATGTTTCTAAGTCCTCTGTGCCTGATACATTGTTACCACTCGGTCAAGAAGATCTGTTATGGTGATTCTCTGGTCTTAGACACAAAGAAGTTAACTGTTTGGATCACCATTAGTTTAGCCACTGTCCTTTGAACATACTCCGAAATGTTCTAGAGCAGTGGTTCTCAACCTTCCTAATACAGTTCCTCATGTGGTGGTGACCCCCAACCATAACATTATTTTTGTTGCTACTTCATCACTGTCATTTTGCTACTGTGATGAATTGTCATGTAAATATCTGATAGGCAGGATGTATTTTCATTGTTACAAATTGAACATCATGAAAGCATAGTGATTCATCACAAAACAATATGTAATTATATATTGTGAACTATTTATTTATAATGACAAATAAATGAAAATTTGTCTGGAAGCGTAGTGTAGCATGGGTTACAGTCTTAATATAATAACATTTTGCGGCAGTATGCGTAAAAGGCCATCCGTCTGAAGGTTGAGATAGCTTCTTTCTCACCAGATCAACCTATCTGCCTGTGGGTGGAACTACCCGGAGATGGATAGAGGAGCAGTGTCTCGGTTCCTAAGACCATCAGAAAAAGGTGTTTTCTGATGGTCTTAGGTGACCCCTGTGAAAGGGTTGCTCAGCCCCCAAAGGGGGGGCCCCCAGGTTGAGAACCGCTGTTCTAGAATCCAATGTTTCACTGCTCCCTAGGTTTGCCTTGCCCTCCCTCTATGCTGCCGTATCACACGACTGGCATCATATTAGCAGACAGTGAGTTGATGAACCGGGAGGCAAGCGCATTTTAATGAAAACCACCACATTTCGGCCATCTAACCTGCTGGCATAAATGACAAGTACATGCATACAATGCATTTTGTGCACATAGGAGGGGGTTGCTCAGTCTCCGAGAAAACATATAATGTGTACCTTACTTGCATAAGATATGGTAAATTAAAAACCAGAAAAAGAAATCTCACTGCCTTCCACTCGGTTCTGACTGATAGGGACCCTATGGGGCAGGTTAGAACTTCCCATGCAGGTTTCCAAGACTGTGAGCCTTTATGGAAGTAAGGGGCCTGGGCTTTCTCTCCCAGGGCAGCTTGTGGTTTCGAACTGCTGACCCCGCAGTTAGCAGTCCAGTGGGTATCCGCTACATCATAAATGAGAGGACTGTTATTTCTTGGTGTAATGCACATCTTGTCATTTAATAAAGGTTTGCTATCCTTTGTTCTAATTCTTGTGTGTGTGTGTTTGTGTGTGTGTGTGTGTGTGGTGGATTAAGGGCTTAAGAGAAAATCCCAGTCCTAGCTCTGGCTTCTTCAGTTCACAACAGCCAAAATATGAGTAGTCGAGACCAGTGGTCCCTGACTCTTGAGCTCTGTCTCCCTCTGTATTTTCCCAGAGATTCTTCTGCTCTTACTCTGTTCTGACTTTTGCTTCAATACAAACCAACAGAGAAGTATTAAGACATTCACCCTCTTATATCTAGTAAATTCTAATACTTCAAGATATTATGATTTAGCGTTATTAACTTGGAAATTGTTCTGAAGAATGCATTTTCAAAGTCTATGAAAGGTTTGTTGTACAAATTAAAAGGAGGAAACGAGACTTACACCAGGGGCACTTAAGTCCTTAAGAAAGCAAACTTTGTGTGTGTGTCAACTAATGGTCATTTTAATCTTACAGTATTTCCTAATAACATTATTTCCAAAGAATTTCGCTTTTATTTGTCTTTCACCTGCTAGTTTAAATGAGGAATGGGGGGGGGGGGCATCAAGAAAAGTGTTTCTTGGTGTGATTAAAACAACAACCACAAAATCCTCGTTTTGTTTCTCAATATTCTCATTATTTATAATTCTCATAATTAATTCTCATCAATGAATACATAAATGAGTATAAATAACTGTGCAAGTTACGCCCTCTGCTCTACAATGTCACCACTTTGATTCAGGCTCTCAGGTAACGTCAAGACCACTGTAGCCATGAACCTTGACTTATGAGAGTTTGACTGACAGCTATGCCTTTTTCCATGAAGCCTTGGTGGCACAGTGGGTTAGGTGTTAGGCTGTTAACAGCAAAAGCAGCAGTTCGAAACCACCAGCGCTTCCGAGGGAGAAAGATAAACTGTCCGTGTCCCCCCGTAAGGGGCCGTTCTGTCCTGTGCGGTCACTCTGACTGGTCTCCACGGTGGGTTCATATCACAGGAGTGCAATCTCTTTCCTCCTATTTCCTCCGTCTCCGGGGTCCTTCTGCCGTTAGATTCTTATGATTTGGAACCCCTGGTAGGCAACCACATTCTAAGTTTAAAAACTCATGAAACCCCTTGATGAGCACTCATGGACTCCCGCAAGAAGCCCTGGGGGTGCTATGGTTAAGCACTCAGCTGTTAGGCAGAGGTGGAAGTTCGGACTCACCAGTGGCTTGAAGGGAGATCAAGTCTGGCACTCTTCCTGGAAGGACAACGGACTGCCCAACGCTGTGCGCGGTTCTGCGCTGTCACGTGGGGTCACGATGAGTCTGCATGCACGCTGGGCAGCCAGCCACTCCTTCCCAATCCCGCTCCAGCGACGATCTAGCTCCCCCCCCCACCCTCCCAACCCCCCCCCATCCCCCGAGTTCAATGACAGACTGTTAGATCTGTGCTGTACAGGCGTATTAGATGCTAGGCCAAGGTGGCGATCCACATTTTGAATTGAAATCTAATTTTAAAAGTCCAGCTCCTCCGTGGCCTTACAGGAGCCCTCAGTGCGCAGTGGTTAAGTGCTCCCTTGCCACCTGAAAGGCTCAGGGTTTGACGAGACGGGGTTTGACGAGACGAGGCTATCTGCCCCTGTCAAGATTGACAGCCTTGGAAACCTCGTGGTTCAGGTCTACTCCAAGTTCAGGTGCTGTGGAATCAATATGTCGACGGTGGAGGCATGTTGGCCAGAGGGGATTGCAGAATACTTTTATCCTGATGGAAAATTCTGCTGGACAACACCAGTGCAGGCCCTCTTTCCCTTACAGCCGGTGCGCGCTCTAAACACTGGGACTTCGAAGTCAAAGCATAGCCAAAAATGCTTCCCCTTTCTCTCCTATTTTGGCAACCATTTTGTTTCATCTATTTCTTTGTACAGAGCGTGGAACTGTAATTTCCCAGTAAGCTTGCTGGTGGCTGTGACTGCCCCAGGGAGGAAGGTAGGCAGATGAGAGATGTGATTATAGGACAGTATGATGTATTTCATCAGGTGGTCTTTAGTTATGGCTGTCATTTTAGTCTCAGCTTTCCCCAAGGAGAAAGGACTCCCGCGCTGTGGGCTCGGGGGCAGAGACAAACGTCATGCCAGCCTTCCCCACCCTCTGCCCCAACGTGGGTCTTTCTCCTCCTCTAGGAGCACTTCGCATGGGAGCGCTCACAGTTTGGACTCCCGCAGCAAGCTCCACATGGCCCACGCCCCTGTTGTCTCAGGAATACTGAGGGCCTTGGCAGAAGGCTGCAGTGAGCTTTTAAGCCACCGAGGAAAGGCTAGACGGCATTCCCTGTGGCCTTTGCCTCCGTGGATGCCGAGGCACTCTGCCCCTCTGAGCAGCGTCATCGTCCTGTGGCGAGGGTGGCATATCCCGCCCGGCCAGGTAACAAGCGAAATCAGCTGGTGATTAGAGCAATGAAGAAATACAGTGAGGGCGGCTGTGCTGAGGGATAGAGAGACTTGAAATAAGTTGTTTCCTCATGCAGAGTAATCGAGCTCTCTATGCCTTCCCCAAAGCAGAACCAAGCTCACTGCCACGGAGTCAGCCCCGCCTCTGTCCCTGTAGGACAGAGCAGACCTGCCCCGGGGGGTTTCCGAGGGTGCAAGCCTTTACTGGAGCAGGCAGCATGCTACCTCATCTGTCTCCTGTGGAGTGACGGGTGGGTTTGAACCGTTGACCTCGCAGTTAGCAGCTCAATGCCTAGCCCACTGTCCCACCAGGGCACCCTCAGGAGAGTAGAGCTGGGTCAGGGCACTTCTAAGACCAGCATCTTCATGGGAGCAGGCCACCTCACCAAGTGTTCTCACCGTCACAGTCACAGTTGGATGTTCGGTAGGAAGGGTGTGTGAGGCCGGGTTGCCCAGAGAAACAAATCCAGTGCCACTCCTCCGTGTGTCTGCAAGAACTCTCTATCAAGAAGGAAGTAATTATGTATCAAGGGGGCCGTCCAACTCAAGTCCCTTTTCAGACTCACATAGCCACGGGCCGGTGCTGTCGAAGCAAGCAGAAGATCACAGGCCGGTGGGAATCGGGTAACGTGGGTCCAAAGGTCAGCGGCAGCAGGGCAGGGGCCCAGGGTGCTCAAGGTTGGTTCCCCACGTGGGGCCATCCTTGGAGGCAGACACAGCTTCGCAGTCAGAAGGAAGGGGAAGTGGCAGAGAGAGAGGCAGTTCTCGGAGTCGTCTGTCACTGTCACACAGAAGGCCACATCCCTAAGGAGGTGTCGTCCAACGACCACTCGATTGACAGGCTTGGCACCACTCCCAGACCCTGCTGCGTCGAGTTGACACAAAATCATCCAACTCCCCTCACCAAGGGCGGCACAAAGAACCTGATGACGCAGTGACATTATAGATGTTCTTATTTTACTCTTACTATAGACCGAACTCCCTGCTCCACCAGCCTCAGGAAAGGGAAGAATCGCGTAATGGTTTGTTTTCTCCTTTCCCTAAGAAAGTTTCCGACGTTATAGGTTTTAGTATTTATAGTTTAGCTATACTCCAATCCCCCAGGCCTCACAGCACAATGCAGGACAACTCTCTCGTCTTCTGATGATGCTGTAGCACCGCTCCTCCCGTTCCATATTCTATCTAGTGTGGCTCTTTGCTGTACCTGCCTTCATACTGCCTTGTAACTATTTCTAACATATAACCCTTTCATCCCCAGAAAATTCCCAGTGGTTGGAAAGTAGGCACTCATTAAGAAGCTGCCAGGGCACCCAGTATGTACAAGTACTTAAGAGTCCTTGCATAAGACTCACCACTTGTTGTTGAATGAACATCACATGGCCTTGGCCATGTGCTAAGTGCTTGACACATAGGATCTCGACTCTGCTCCTTAATGCTCTGAGACTGGTGTTATTATCCCTATTGTGAGGATGTGAAATTAAACTTCTAGGGGCTTAAAAAGTGAGCTTGACGCTCCATATCTACATTGAGAGACTAGGTCTGCTTGGATCCAAAAACCTTTGCTCTTTCCACTATATCCTAGGAATTCCTTGGGATTCCTTGGAATGCCTGGGATATAGTTGGAGGAGTGTTGAAAGGGTGCTCTAGTGGAAAGCGTGTTGACAATTGTCTATCAGTGATGTGTGCTTTTTAAAAAAATCTGTGGTTGTTTTAAGAGCAAGTTTTACATGCTCTTAGCAGGCCTTGACCACATCTTCTTTGTAAGATTACCTGCTCTTTCAGTGTAGAGACACCGGTTTTTAATGGGATTTTTAAAGCTCACATGTGAACTGCCTCTTTTTCTCTTTGCATTTCAGTTCGACCCATTAACAATTGAAAGCAAAAAAGCAGCGACCGTGGTGTTAATGCTTAAGTCTCCAGAGGAAGAGATTTTGGCTAAAGCGTGTGAAGCCATCTATAGATTTGCTTTAAAAGGTTTGGATTTTTTCCCCAGTGTATCTTTCTTTTGCATGGTTTTCTTCCCTGTTGAAATAGTTTCAGTTTTGCTCACAGTTGGGCTGGGACCAGCTGGACGGTTCTTTCTCTTCCCCTGGTTGCTTAAAGTATTTTACGGCACAGCGGGTCCTTCCCCAGTCTTCTTTCCCCCTGGCCTTCACTGCCCATCAGATGAGTTCTTACAGACCAGCTGAATGCCGCTCCATCCGTGACCTGAAGAGAAAGCGTTTCCCTAGGAACCTGGCTGAGCCTGAAGGAGTCACAGCCACTGGAGGTGCTAGTCATTTTGAAGTTCTTACAGTCGTTTGAAAATCTATAAATGCTTTACAATGTTCTGACAGTCAAGCTACAATCATTTTGAGAAACAAATAATGCTAGATGATAACACAGTAAAACAAACAAAAAATACCCAAGAGTCCATGCTGATATAAATAAATGATCGCATAAACAATAGGGAAGAAAAGGCCACTCCCCCAATGCCAGAGAACTCTGAATAATTTTATAACATCGATACTCTACCTCCCCGGAAAGGAGACTGGAGCTTTGTGAATTGCACAGTGACTTCTTGCCCATCTCCAGCCGTTCGAGTGCCGTGTGGGAATGGAGAAGCACACGTAGGTTTCCCATGGAAACCCTGACTGTCGGATCAAGGTGACCAACAGGGATCATCATGTGCACTGTTGACGTAGTAGATGAAAATAGCATTTTAGCCGGGCTATTTTTCCCAAAGACCCTTAATGATAAAAAACAGACAAATGCCCTTTTAGCGGTGCCTCAAGACTGCCACAGTCATCCCAAATACGGAAAATCTGAGAACCCATCAGAGCCAAGAGGAGCCTTAGGAAACAGAGAGACTGAATGCAACTTGAGAGCCTGGGTAGGATTCTGGAATGGAAAGGACTTTGGGTTAAAACTGAGGAAATCTGAGTAGGCTATGCACGTTCGTTGATGGTACTATATTAGTATTGCTTCATTCATTAGAATTAATTACCATACAAATGTAAAATGCTAGGAATAGGGGCAAAGAAACAAGGTCTTTTGAAACTCTTTGTATCCCCACCTTTTTATATAAAACAAAGTATTTTAAACAATAAACTTGATTTTAAAAGTATGTGTGTCACATACCAGATTCTACTGAAAGGATTCATCGCAGAGGATTGACACACATAAAAGTTTGTTCATTCCAAACGGTGCTTGAATTAGACTTTTTGTAGACTGTATACCATTTGATGGAGACTATGTTAAGAAATTATATGTAAATGTGGCGTAATTTGCTATTTTTGACAACATATTTTAAATGAAGGCGCAGTTCTGATACTTGGGGCCTTGTTGTGGGACTGGGACGGCAGACAGCATGACATTCAGGTCCCAAGTTCTACAACAGTCAACTTCCTAGGCCCTGCTCATCCTGACAGGGAAGCTGGACACAAAGGGGAGTGGGTCTAGAAGGTGTGATTTAAGGTTGAGGTCTGTGGAATCCAGGGTCGAATTCCTGGAATTCCAGGATGGCTGGGATTCTGCATCTGGGCAAACACGACTCCCATTCAGCCTCAAAGCTTCAGCCTGCTCCGTCATCTGACTGGCATACGTACCTAGTTAGGAATCAACTCTTTTTTATGTGACATGACGTAAATTAATAGGCATGCTGTTGTCATTGTTGTTGCCATTGCCATTAGGGGCCATCGAGTCGGGCTGTTCTGACTCCTAGCGACCCTGTGTACAAGAACGAAACCCCACCATGCCCCACGCCCTCCCCACAATTGTTCCTCCGCTTGACATGCATTTGACATGAAATCGATAGAAATTATTATGCCTGGTGCTTTATACACACAGGATTTTTTTCCTGAAATATTTTTCAAAATAAGTGATGGGGCTTTTCCCTGGTAAAAGATGAGAGTCGTGTTTCTGTCTTAGAAAAGTTAAAGACAAACCCAAAAAAGGGGTGGGGAGGTTACCTACTTAGCGAGTGCCATGAACACTGAGAGTCAGGCGACAAAGGAAATAAGCCTCAGGATGGCCCCAGCTGGCTGACTTTGGAGAGCTTCCAGGTGAGGGTGCAAAGTCTGCTGGGCTCCTGGATTTAGAAGCTAACTTGGAGAGCCTCTGCAGACAGCGGTAGCTGGAGTTTGCAATCTCGTGTAACAGAGAGGAGAGGAGAGGGTGCTGCAGAGAGAACGCAGGTGCCCTGTAGAGGGTCCCCCTCCAGCATTTAACTGGCCATGTATGCAGAGAGAACCACTCAAGGTTAGCAAAGGACCGCCAAGACTCTTGGCTCCTCTTGGCATATAAGACGAGCTAACAGATACAGACCTCATGGGCCTCTAGCTCAGCGGTTCTCAACCTGTGGGTCGCGACCCCTTTGGGGTCAAAGGACCCTTTCACAGGGGTCACCCGATTCATCATAGTAGCAAAATGACAGTGGTGAAGTAGCAATTAACATAATGTTATGGTTGGGGGTCACCACCACATGAGGAACTGTATGAAGGGTCGCGGCATGAGGAAGGTTGGGAACCACCGACCACGAGGATGGGAAGGTAACAGTGCTGGAAGAGCACCTGTTTCCATGAATCACACTGAGAAACCTCAAGCTATACAGGCCTAGAGCTGAGTGCACAGAGATTCTGCCTCAGTAGTGTGGACTAAGTAGCCACCGCTAGAGCACTGCTGTGGTACCACCTAATGAACTGCGAAAGAAAACTCTGAAAGGATCTGTTTCCAAATACCTTAACCGTGGACTGGCGGCATGGTGGTTATGCATTAGGCTGCACTCCACATCTCTGGTAGTTCAAACCCACCAGCAGCTCCTCGGGAGAAAAACTGGGCTTTCTACTCCTCTAAACAGCTACAGTCTCGGAATCCACCAGAGGCTGCTGTGAGTCAGCATTGACTCGGTGGTGGGGAGTTTCTTTGTTTGTTTTCCAAGTTTAGTCCCACAATGGAACACATTTTAAGAATAAAAAGCATTCAATGCCAAACGGTGAAGATAACCATGCCTGGCATCTATTCAAATGTGAACGGCCATGTCAGAAGTGGGAAAATACAAACCAAAACGAGGAGACCCTTCAATTAGTAAATCAAAACGGGCACAGAACTGACACAGATGATAGGGTTAGCAGGCAAGGACATTAAACAGCTATTCCAGATGTTCAGAAAGCAAGTTAAGACGTGGGAGATTAAAAAAAACACTCGTCAGATTTCTAGAAATGGAAACCAGCATCTTAGATGAAAAATACACGGACCTGGATTAACAGGGAACAGGTAGACCAAGGAGAATGATAAAAATGACAAGCTGATACCAAGGGCTCAAGTAGAAAGCAAATGTTTTGAGAATGAGGATGGCAACAAATGTACAAATGCGCTTGACACCATGGATGGATGGATGATGATCAGAGTTGTCTGAGCCCCCAAGACAATGATTAAAAAAAAAAGAATGATAAACAAAGTATTTTGAGAGAAGAGATTTTTTAAAAGGTGAGTAGAGTCTCAGTGAACTTTGAGATACATTAAATTATCCTAACATCTATGTAATTGTTGTTTCTTAAAAAGGGGGTGGGATGGGAAGAAAGAATGTTTAAAGAAATCATAGACATTCTGTCCCCAAATTTGATAGAAACGGTAAATCCACAGGTAGAAGCAGCTCAGCGAAATTCAAGACCAAAGAATAGGAAGGAAATGACCCTGAGGCACACCGTAATGAAATTGCTTGGAAGCAGCGACAGTGAGAGTCTAAAATGCAGCTGGGGGAGATGGGGGGCTGGGAGGAGGAAGCTGACTGCCCTTCTTACCTTTAGAGCAGTGGTTCTCCACCTTCCTCATGCCGTGACCCTTTCGTACAGTTCCTCATGTGGTGGTGACCTCCCACCATCACATTATTTTCATTCCTACTTCATCACTAAGTTTGCTATTGTGATGAATTGGGCGACCCCTCTGAAAGGGGTCACAACCCACAGGTGAGAACCGCTGCTTAGAGGAACAAAGACGACAATAGAAATGATGCCAGTGAGTGGAGCTACACCTTTAGCACCCTG